CTACATATATATACATATACATACATATATATGCATCCGAAGAAGTGGGCTGTAGTCCACGAAAGCTTATGCTCTAATAAATTTGTTAGTCTCTAAGGTGCCACAAGTACTCCTGTTCTTCTTTTTGTGGATACAGACTAACACGGCTGCTACTCTGAAACCTTTATTATTATGGGAAGCCCTGAAGGAAGAATCTTTGGAATTTGAAACTGAAGGCTCTGCTCCTAGGCATGTGCTCATTTATTGAGGCTGTTGTACTGGAGGGTCTCCCTGGCCCAGATCAGAGGGGTCTCAGGGCCTTCTCCATTAAGGGTTTCCTAAGGTGAAGCTCACAGGATTCGCAATTTATTGGTGGAAATGATCGACAGACACAGAAGAAATATGTGTCTCACCCAGACAGCAGAGACAGCATTGGTGTTAGTCATTGACAGAGAAGGATCAAGTGCAGGAGATGCAGTTTTTGAAGCCTGGGACTTTGGGCATAGACCCAGACCACAGGGAGGTAGTCCCCAGTCCTGGGAAGCAAGTACACAAACTACACTAAAAATGTAGCTCTACTAAGCTAAAAAGAATAACTATATACTATTTTATCTGCAGGATCTCTGAAAGCTGAAGAAAGAGAGGACATTGAATTCTGACTCTGGACCATGCAGCAGTAAGGAACTGAGGGGGCGTCAACCTGTACTGCCTCTTCTACTCTTGCTCAGAAGCATGAGGAGACCAACTGCGCATATGCGGACCAAAAGACACTGCTTGTTAAAATCTCTGAACTCAGGTGCATACTGCATGTGTGTACCCACATGAGAATACATATAGGAACCAGCATTTGAAGAACTACTGGAGGTTTAAATACCATGGATCCACAGTGGCCTCAAGAAAACACAATCAGTCACATGTTTTAAAATTTACCTCTATAATTACACCTGCAAGTTTGAGTGTGAAAACCTGATAATTAGCTGCCACCCTAATTTGAATGCACAAGTGCAAATTCATGTTAAACGTGAAATGCAGGCTTTGCAAGTACCAACTGCACACAAAATACAAGCATAACTTTAGATTACAGGTTGAGGCCAGCCCAAAATTTGGCCCATTTAGGCTTCTGCTGCCAACTTTCACTGTAATTATAGTAGTAATATACTATAACAACAGTAGCAATAATATTAAATATTAGCAAGCATATATATGATCCATCAGGATTAAAGCCTCACTGTGCTGAGTAAGAGAATCACTCAGATATTCTCAAAAACAACTGATAAAGAATAGAGGAAAGAAATTTAACATAGAAGGAATCTGTGAAGAACTGGTACAACCTTGTTAATTACATGTTATGTTGGTTTTGCTTTTGTAAAGTAATCAGCATTTAAAACTGAGGAAATGATGGCAAACTAAGCTTGCAATTTCTTATCTAGCTAAAAGTAGAATGCATGGGTAAGATCAAACATTATCCTTTTTCCCATACTGTCTCTACTTGCCATACAAGGCCCCAGGTATGTTACTCTATAATTATCTCACTTCCCATAGAATACTTTAAGAGAAGCTGTCTGCAAGAAGGCTCTATAGTAAACATATTGAAAAGTTACCCCTTCCCACTCTTGCTGCTCTCCTTCCCCAAAACTGTCTCTGTTAAAGTAAAAACTATGTACTTAAATAAGGATTCCTAAAGTATTTACTTGTGACTGCTTTCATATTTCATTTTTTTAAAAGCACTTAATCCAGACAGAAACACATCTAATACTTTTTAAATAAGTAAAGTTTCAAAACAACCAGTAGCAAACTGAGCTCCCTTGAAACTCACAAATGGCTGACAATTTGATTTTTAATGGTTTTTGGCAGAGTCAATTAGTTGCAGTATTATTGATCTGACTACAGCATGACTTAACAATGCTAGATCAATATTATAAAAGAGTTTTACTTCTTTGATGGAAATATTTCAAACAATATATTGTGTGTACACACGTTTCAGACAAAGAACGATTACTTCCTCTTGAAACAGTAAATATTTTTGCAAACAGGAATACACTAAAAAAGGCTTAAGGTTGTACTATCAGACTATATCTCCATGGATGTAACTATTGCAAGCTAGGATAATGGCATTATTCCATTAGAGAGATCAATTTCACTAAGAAGCAAAGATGTTCTACTCAAGGCCAAACATCCCTTTTATTAAACTATATATGGCTCTCTGATTTCAAGTTCTATTTAAACTAACTGGTTTAGCAGACTCTGGGGTAAAGAGACAGAATAAATGGTATAAGGCAAAATGTGAAGTAAAAATTCAATACCACTGTTTTTCTGAGGCTGCAAATGCTGACAAGGTTGCTGCAACTATTTATAACATTATAGCACACCAAAGGAGAGAGACTCAGACAATACTTTTAAGATCACTAATTAACAAATGGCTACTAACTTGTAATATACTTCTGAGACCCAGCTGTGAGGAGTTGCACTAGAGTGTAATGGTTTCTATGCATTGTATGTAGATAGTTTAAATTACAGGTGGATTCTGCAACTCTTCCGCATACTGAGTAGAGCTGTGGCAATTCATTTTTTGGTCTGATAATAGTTGGGGGGGGGAGGGAAGGGGAAATGTGGTTCTGGTTGAATAGAAGCCAATTGTTTTAGCATTTTCAATGAATTGAAGAAGTCTGAAAACTTTAATTTAGGGTTGAACAAAATGTTTAATTTGGAGTATTTTTAATAAAAGCAAAAGAAATGAAGACTAGATTCACAAAACCCTTGATATGCAGTAGTTCAGTGATTAGGGCATTCACCTGGGATGTGAGAGAAAGGGATTCCAATCGCCACTCTGGAGCTGGGACTTCTGAGGAAGGTCTCTCTCCTGTTGAAACTGTCGCACTTTATACAAAATATTTACATATTTATTTATGGAGAGAATGACTCCATAGCTCCAATGGTTAGGGCACTGCTATTGGGCATAAGAGGGGCAGCACCACCACTGTTTTTGCAAATGGTACTTTAAATCCCATTGGGAATCTAGCCTGAAAAGTCAACATATTTTATGCATATATGAAAAAAAAAATACTCCACTGCACACACGTTTCTCTTTGGGAAGAGGATAAGAGAAAAAACACATGACAGACATTAGTTACGATGTTTAAAGCACTACTGGCAGGCACACAAATACTATGGCGATGAAGTCAGTATACAAATCTACACACAATAGAATAGAATCCTCTTGTATAATGCTATCGATGCATGCATCACTAGTGGGCAAGTTTGCTCTTAAAAAACAAAAAACCCAAGCTAAATTAATTTACATTTCTTAAATTTATGAACAGAAATGTCAATATTAAATTCAGGATGGTTCAGGGTTTGCGGCTCTAATGAGCAACATTTTCAAAGACTTAATTACCAGTTAATGAGTTAATGATAGTATAGAGTAAGTAACTAAATACTATTAATGTTGGCCAAAAATATCCTCAAAGTTCTATATTAATTTTCCATTTTTATATCATTATATATGACATAAAAGCTAAAAATTAAGCCTCTTGGCTAAGTAGCTTATTCATATGCCATAGCATTATTGTTGAGAAAACAAAAACTAGTCAAATTAGATTATCTTCTTGTTAAATATATTTAGGATTAAATCTATTTATTATGGTTTACTAAAGTTAACAAAGGAATAAC